CCTCCAAAAACAGCAAGGAAGGCACCCCGAACAGTGATTCATAAGGCTCAAAATCAACAATTTGAAAGTCCCCAAGTGTAACATGTAATCAGCCCAAAACAGTACCTAAAGGTAAGTGAAAACCCATAGAACCGACTCCAAAACTGTAAGCAAAAGCCCCCCAACAGATTCTGAATCTTTTGACATGTAAATACATAAGAATTGCATGCTCCTCAACAAGATTTCTATAATGCCGACCCATAAGAACTTCGAAACAGACCGTATGGTTTCAAATTTACAAAAAACCAATCCATATGAATATCAGATTCGCATAAAAAAACGGCTTGTATAACTCCAGATGTACGTCAAACCAAACGGATTTCCAACTTGCATAAAACCAGTCTGTATAACTTCAAATTTATACAAAGCCAAGCACCAAAACTTTCCGCCCTTTGCAAAAAAAACATGAAAGCTTTCATTTTTTTTTAAGTAAAGCACAAAGTAACCGAGCAATGAAACCATTGAACAACCAAAGTTTCGACCCAAATCAATGAGCCTCGGAGTTCTAAATAGTTCGGGGCATATAACAAGAAAGCCAAAATCAGCAAGCCGCATGGCCTTTCTATGTATAGCATACACTAAAAAAAGTTTCGTTGAATCAATATCGACAAACCATAAAGCTCGACCCTCGACATATCCCCTTAATCAAAAAAGCTAAGCAAACAATCATTTGTAAAGAGGGGAAAGGGGAATAAGTATAATAAGGAATAGCAATTATACACATATACTTAGGTATCGTACGCATAAGCCCATAGATGTATAAGCGATACTCTAGTAAAATTTTGCACAAATGTGATTGCCTTTAAGGATAAAGTGACAAAGACCCGCATATGTACATGTCCACCTTAAGTGTTATGCGTGCAAATATAAAGGGAAAAAAATAAGAAATTTGAAATGAGGAATCTAAAATAAGAAATCTGAAATGAGGAATCTAAAATAAGAAATCTGCATATAAACTATCCAGCCTATATATGTTTTAAATATTTAGCACCCAAGCCTCAATTTTTTACATACCTACCACTTTGACTATGCATAGAAGATGTATTCCTTATTTAAAAGGCAAGATTGAAGTGAGTTTCATGCGACGTGAGAGATTTGAAGGGCATGGGTGTAATGAGCAGAGTTTAGGTGTTAAATATGCAAACAAATAAAAGCTACATATAAATTTCAGCAAAGAAGGTAAATTTCAGCAAAGAGAGTAAATTCCATCAAAGAGATATTTAATTCCTGCAGTAAATGACCATTTGACCCCTCATAAACTTTGTATTTGAACGCTTGAAGTGCCAAAACCGGCAAACCCGCAAAGGAACACTTATTCCCTATGTGCAGCCATTAAAGAATAACAACAAATTTACATGCGCATCAGTTGATTCCCATGCAAACTTTTTCAAGTTTTCGCAAAGAGATAATACGTTGGTAGCCCAATAAGCAGTCACGCAAAAATAAATCGAGCCACCCGGCAAGAAAACGAAGGAACCAAACAAGAATACCTAGTAGACAATTAAGAATATCGAGCGGGACACAAAATTTTGGCAGCACTTCCTCCTCTCCCAAGCTTCAACCACCGCTAACCCTGCCCTAGGTAGGGCTTTTATAGGCAGGGAAAAAAGGAGCTGTACCTACCCTGATGAAGTGACCAAATGAGGTAACGGGAGAGGAAGAGGCGCATTTAGGGTGGAGATAATGCGGCCTCGAGAAGATAAGGGATCGGCAAGGTAAAGCTTCACAATTTGGGAGTTGTTCGGTCAAGCGGCTTGCAAAGAAGAGAAGGAGTCTCGTGCGCTGGGGGCTCACGATCGAACCAGGAGACTCGCTAAGAGAGGAGCGCACGAGCTAGCACACGCCCGGGTGCTGTCGATCACGGGAGAGGAGGCGAGCGAGCGGTTGGACCGAGCGAGGAGAAGAGGGATAAGGCTTGGTCAGGGCTCGCGCGTGACAGAGAAGAGCCGAGCCATCTGGGAGTGTGCGTGAGTTAGGTGAAATGGGTTTTAAATATATTTATTTTTTTTTTATTTTGACATTTGAAAGCCCTAATTTACTCATTTCTGGCTTGGACTCGTCATCATAATGTAATGAATGTCCCCTACAGCTAAAATCGACGTCCCGGATGCACTGGCACAATCCGTTTCGTCATCCGATGTCGTTTGACTATTTTTCCTATAATTGTACCATATTTGAGTAATAATTCGTGCATTTCTTACGTGTAAGAAACTCAAGCAATATGGCTGTTTTCTCGATTAAAATCGACGTTCTAGATGCGACGGCGCAATCAACGATCGGGCAAAAAATAAGTCAAATTCAATTTTCTTCAAATTTTGGTATATGATCGATCGTCTCAAAATTGATTTACGTTTTTATTAATTGTGAAACTTTTACAGGTATAGGTGACATGAATTATGATATTTTTGTGTGTCAGTTGTTCGAATTGTGACATTTGTGAGTGTGAAAGCATGAAAGTCATAATGGGTGTCCTAAAGCATTTAAATCCTATAGGAACTCTTCTCGGGCCCCCTGACGTATTGGTCCTAGCCACTCAACCCAGCGGTGATGGTACATGATCTTAGCCACTCAACCAAGTGTTGACAGCTCAAAATCATAACCACTCGACCGATCAGGAAGTGGTTCGAATTTTTAAGAGGGGTGGGTCCCAGCTCTAGTCCACTAAGAGAAGAAGAGGAAGAAAAAAAAAAGATCTCATAAAAATGAGGTCAACACAGTCCAAATCCATCTTGATTCTATGTGGAATACTCTAAGCGCAATCACAGATAAATCTAAAGCCAAAAACCCTCTCTCCCCTCTCGGGTTCATGGTCCTCACAATAGTAACTAGAAAGCTCTCACACTGAGGTGAAGACAAACACTGCATATCCTCTTCATAATACGATGCCAAAGTCACTTTCGAGCACCAACTTCTTCAATCTTAGACATATAAATGTTTTCTTCTCTGGTTAAGGAAGCCATCACGGTCAACGCTGCTGGAGTAGAGAGAAGCCAGTGAGAAGGAGAGGGGAGAGGGGAGAGAGGAGAGGGGAGGGGAAAATGTAAGGTTTCTTTTTTAAAAGAACAAAACTATAATCACATACAGTTATTGCGCTTGGGTGGTGCTTCGTAGCATACATTTAACAGTATTTAGGAATGCACTTAACTTAATTCAGACAAAGAACACAAAAAATGAAACTTAAATCCAAGGCACCGTTACATTGAAATTTTTCATGTTCTATTACTTTAAGTTGTGTTCCGTCTCTACTATGACGTAAATCCGGATTGAATAATCTGAATGAAAGATGAGTTTAAAGGATTTATAATGCTATCGACGAGCTCCATCTCCATGCAGAATTTATCAGATTTACTAATCCTATTTAACGTAAATCCCGATAGCGGCCAAAACACCGCCTCGGTGTTAGCTGCAAAGCTAACTGCTGTTATAGCTACAAGTTTTGGCTTAACCAAATTCTTAGTTCTTATGGATTATATATAACTAAAGGTCTTCATTTAGTCCTCTCAGTCTGAACAATTATAAAATTAATCACTTTAATGGAGACTCAATAGATGTTCCAATCTATTATGTCACTGATGAAAGAAGCACAAAGTACTTATCTTCAAAGCTGAAGAAATGTTCCAGGCTCTCCGCTAAAAACAGAAAAAATGCTATGATGACAAGGGACTTCAATGTTATAGATGTATGCAGAAGAGAATTTTATATGTTCTCTAATGTCTAATCTGCATCCATGTATTTAATGCAAACACCTCGTACAAAAATGGAAATTTTAAGAGTAGGCTCTGAGGGTTGAGAGTGCCCCAGGTTTTTGTTGGCAAAGGATAGAGAATCCTGCAGCTATGTGGGAGAAAGAGTGGGAGAATGAGGATCAGGGTAAGGAAATTCCAGTAAAGATATACCTCTAGGTTCAATGACATGCAAGAAACGAGATAGAGTTCACAATGGGGGTTACGGCGGCACGCAATGTGGTATTGTTGTTGTATTTAAAAGTTAAGTAAATAAAGTTTGAAGATGTTATAAATGTAAATTAAAGTGTTTGAGGTGATGGGTATGTGAATCCTCCTTTTATCTAATACTCACAAAGAAGGTGTCCATTAAGGCATAATAATGAATCCCAGTCTTCTTCTACTTTAGCATCTTTGTATTGCATCAAATTGGATGATTGTTCAAGGTGGTTGATATTTAGAATTTGAAGCGGAATTTTGTATGGTTTATATGGAACAGGATGAAGAATAAGGTGTTAGATGCTGATGCTTGAATATTAGGTTGCGGAAAGGCTAGATATGTAGGGCTGAAATTATAGATAAGAGTTTACTTCAATGATCAATCATGGGAAATTGCTGTAATGGGGAGTGGAAAAGATGCCGACAGCACTAGGCTAAGATTGTTTGATTCAATTAGGGATTATGACGCCAGTTTGGATTTAGGCGATCAGTTTTAGGAGGCTGGGGAATTCATGTGGGTATAGGAATGTGAATGAGAAAGTGGAAGGAGCTTTGATGTGATTTTGCAAATATAATAAAAGTCATTGATGTAAAATTGCAAATTTTACAATGAACTCTTTTACTAAAAGTCATTGGATATCTGCTCTGATACTAAAGGAATTGACCATGAACTTTTCATGAATTGAATTGTGAAGGGAAGTACCTAAAATAAAAGAAAGTATTGGAGAGGAAACGAGGAGAAGGGTATTGAGAAAATCATATAATTGAGCATCTTAAAAGAGACAAGAATACCATCCCTCCATCTTATTAAAGGGTATACTGGTCATAAAATTACTGAAATGAACAGTTAGTAGTATCAAAAACAAAAGAAAGTAGAATCATTCAAAATTTTAAATTATATTTTACCCTTAAAATGACAAAAAGCAGAATTTTGCAAAAACATTAAGCAATAACTAAACAATATTAATGCAGTAGACGCGCTCCATAAATATACTGAAAGGAATAAGAAAATCGGATAACCTGCGCAGACGCGCTCCATAAATATTGTTTCTCGCCAAAATACCATGATAGGGTATATTCTAGAATTGGTTGCAGCATCTGCTGACTAGTTCGACCAATCAGTTCCTTGAGAACTGTTGAAACCATGGACCGGACCCTCTGGTCTTGCTCATTGGCTAAGGAAACCACTAGGTGAAGAAAAAAAGACTGAACATGACTATCAATAATACTTCTAGGAAATTTAACCAAAATAACATGAAGCATGTCCAGCACAGACTCTCTTCCTGATGGATGTTCATAGCTGCAGAAATTCCAAATAAATAATCCGAGTTAAGAGAAAAAAAAAAGTACAATAGATCCATATTACCTAAGATTTGACAGTAAGAAATCCATATGTTGCTGCAATCTCTTGTCAGAGAGATGATACTCAAGAAGAAACTGTAACATGATCTCGCTGCATTTCCTGCGAATCGATTCTGACTGACTCGTGACCATTAGTTCAGCAACTCGCAAAACTATGTCGTAAATTTCATGAACGACGAGTTTTCGTGCGAGAATTGCCTTCAAAAGCGAGAGCGCTAAAGTGGAAGGACGAGTTTGAATATCAATAAACATTGGAAATCGAATAATCATGTGAAGTTCATTATGTGAAATTGAAATCCTTGTGCTCCGTAACAGCATCATAAGCAGCTTTAAACAGGATTGGACCAACGGACTGCTTCCATCTCCAGATCTCTGAACAATAGAAAGGAGCGAAGACTTGATTTTATCAGCTTCTGCATCCAATGATGGCAAGGGGAGCTTAAACAGTGGAGAAAGGCATCTAAATGTTGCAGATAAAATATTTTCAAATTTAGAATTCAGACAGTATCCAAGCTGTTTGACAAACGGATCTAACATCGAAAGAAGCTGCGGGTCCTTCTCGTCCAACTTCATCTTCTTCAAACGATTATGCAGCATTTCAAGAGCGAACACAGTAACAAGATGAGAATTTTTCATACCATGAAAAGAAATATTTTCATTTGTTCCAATACGGTCTTCAATGAGCCCATAAACAAAGATAAATAACTCAGCGGTTTGAGCTGATGGATTACATTCAATTCCGGAGGCTATATGGAACAAAATTATTTCAAGTCTCCGCTTTATTTTTGGTGTGAGATTCTTCTCAATATGTTTATGTATGGGAGAGAGAAGCTTCATAGCATGAGTTCTGAAAGTAATGTTCTGTGAAATCAACTTGAGAGTATCAAAAGATTTGCTTTTCCGAGTTTCTTTCATTTTCAAAGCAATTTTCTCGACCTCTTTCTCTTCAGCAACATCTCCAAAAATGTCATTTTCAGTGATAAGGAGGAGTTCTTCTAAACAGTAATCCAAGATCCCTGTTGCTCTACCTGTGAGAGTCTTCGATAAAATGAAATACAAACTATATCCTAAAACATGCATTTCATAGCCTCGCTTAAGATTTGATTGCATGACTTTAACTATAAAGTGCAGATATTCCAATCCTAGCTCTTTCGTGCATGCAGCCAAAGCAGATCGTGCTTCGTCTCTCACACTTTCAAGACGATTCTTTAAGAACGCACAAATGTGGTGAATGATGCTAGAAAGTTGTGAATCCATAATATCAGAAGATAGAAGTTTTAGTAACTTAAGGGCAGCGAGACTAATATTAACGTTGACTTTTTCGGAATCCATGCTCAGGATCTTCTGAATTTGAGGAAGGACTGTTTTTTCAAGATAAGACTCTATTTCAGGAATAGTTTTAGCAGAAGATTTATCTTTTAATTTCACAATTGCATTCCCTTGAGGATTATCAGAACGTAAAGCATCAGAAGAATAAACTTTATCATTCTCACAAGAGTTAGAAGCGAAGAAATGAAAGTTGTCCAATATAGCACAAATCAATCTTACTAAGAGTTTTTGTTTTTCTGGACGACCACTAATTTCACGAAAACATTTCATTAGAAAGGAACGATATGATTCCCATTGCATCTTATTTGCTATATAAGCGAGTGAATCCAAGCATTCATCCCTTATATGCTCCCCTTTCCCAGATTTCACTTCAAACATCATATTTAAAAACAGAGGAACAAATATGTTTACAGCAATGTTCTGCAATTATGAAAAAAAAACACCAAGTCATCTTTACTTCTGCTTAATTAGAAACACTCTACAAGTAAAGCATGGTACCTCTGTGAAATTTCCAGCACTGATAACATTTCTAAATCGCAACAAAGCCCTTCTTCTCCTATGTATCTGCAGACAACTTAAATTTTGATAAGAGCAGCACAGATTATGTAAAAACAACTTAGAAGATGAAGAAGTCACCTGCAGGTGGAGAATATTGTTGAAAAAATCGACTTCAGGATCCTCACTACATAGCGGTCTAAATGCATACAGAGCCGGAACTTCATGAAGATTATAAATCATTTCACGAAGAAGAGTCATCCATTCCTGATAGAACAGTTATTATATATCATTAAAAAAAAATAAGGGGCTGACATGACAAAATTATAAAGCTCATCAACAACATACTTTTTGGATGGAGATTTCCTTCGTCAAAGCTTCTTTCATGTTCTTCAAAAGAACATCATTTATTATCAGTAGAATGCAAGCCTTCGTCCAATTCGATTTACCGCATGTTTCTAAAGCTGCACAAGATGCTTGTTTACCTTCAGCATCATGCGTAAAAAAAATATTTGATTCTGTTTTTAGATATGACGAAGCAAACTGAATGAATGCTAGCAAAGATTTTGATGCACACTGTCGAAGGATTAATTCATCAGATGACATATAATATACACAATGTGACAGGATAAGCAATGTATGATTGACTTCGAGTAAAGAAAATAATTCTGGGTTTATTTTCTCGTATGCACTGATTATTGTATCATAATCTAACTCTCCAATATCCATAAAAGATACAGCATTTAAGTCGCGAAGAAGCCTAGCCTGTAAATTATACCAAGTAGAAAAAATGTTACAAATACGGGGTAGTACTATGTTCTAATGATAAAGAGAGAAAAAATAAGCACGTTTGCATAACAAATTCCTTATTTGTTTTGGAGGTGGAAAAAGTAATTAGAAAATTGCAACCAACAAATAAAGTACCAGATAAGTTAAAGATGAATCAATCAGCGCGAGGTTATCAATGATATCACATATGCAAAGCCGAAGATCTATTCCCGCAACTGAGAGGATTGGAAAGATAGATTTTAGAATCTTTCCAGATGTGTTGTCATCATTGGTAGGTAAATACTGTAAGATATTCTTCATAACAAGCAATGCTTCCAAGCAATCAGCTGAAAAAGTAAACAAAGAAAAATAACTGTTGTCAAAACACAAAACTAAATTGATGACGCAATAACTGCGGACTTGAAGTATCACCTCACCGAAATCTAAAACTTTTCTTTTGAAAAAAAGGAGAAGTAAATCAAGGAATTGAACAGCTGTGGAATGATTTTTCACATAATTCGCCATCATTTTGAATATCCTCAGCTCTTTCTTTCCCAGCGAAATGGTGGATTTCCTATCATAAAACTAAAGAAATGAGCAAACCAACATACTCGCATTTAGCTTAGTAACAAGGCTAGTTGAAGCAAAATATCATGAAGCAAAAAATAAGACTAATCGGGCATTATAACAAGCAAAACATAATTCGTTAATGAAGTATATAAATGCTCAAATAAATGTTTAAACATCGAATAATTCTTCTTAATTATTACTAGCCGAAAGAAAAAGGACAGATAGTTTAAATTATTGAACTTAAATGCTTCAAAGATATAGTATTTTAACAAAATCTATGAACTATAGATAAAGACATCATTAATCAACCATTTAATTAGCGAGTACAAAGGATGTTAAATGTTGGCTTGCTTATACCACTCAATTTCTAGTATTTACATATCTAACACCTAAACTTCAATCTTCACATGTGCGCAAGCCACCATAATTATGCATGAAAACAAGTGGTATAAATGTGAAAAGTAAAGGTTTAGTGTTTGATATGTATAAAAAGGGAAGATCAACAGCGTAAGATTGCAACTGATATCTCAATTCCAGAAGCTATGTACAAGAGAGAAAAAGAGAAGAATTACTTGTTTGAATCTTCGCCGGACATGAAAAGTTCATGAAAATTCTTGATGAGTACTTCGAGGTGAGGATAGAACACAGATTTTATAGAGTCATTCTCTTGATCAAAATCATTTCCCAGGTTCAACAAATTCTCAACAAAACTAAGCACTGAAGATATAATGGCATCAGAAGCAGTCCTCACGGTAAGAATTGAAAAGATAGCAGGAACAAGATTAGCCACCCTGTTTAAGAAATATACAAGTATGGGGCTTCGACTCATAGCAAGAAAACAAGAAAATAATGAGCTCGGTTTTTCACTGCTAGAACCCTCATTCTTGAAATTGTCTATTAGAGGCTTCACAGAGTTGAAGAAAATGTCCCAAAACTCACAACCAAAGTCGTGGCTATCATGCTTGTTCAGAGCAGAAGATAAAATCTTCAAACATAAAGATCGCAAATCCTTGAACTGCTTACTAGATGTGCACCACTATAGAGAAAAAAAATCTGGTGATTAAGAGTGGCAGTTATGATATACAAGTAAAATCATAGAATGAGAATAAAAGCACAAAATATTTTTCTAACTATTAACAAGTGACCAATTTAATTACAGAGTTTTAAAGTGCTCCATTTTAGTCCCGGACTATTAAAAATTGATCTGAATTGATCCTTAGGCAAAGATTCATGGTTAAAGTTAACAACAATTTTTAACTTTACGGATATTTTAAGAATAGGAAATTTAAATGATTTTTTTTTATTAATAGTTCCCTTTCATAGTTAATAAATTATTTTTCAATTATATAAAAAAATATTTTATGATTACTCTATTAATTTAAATACTAAATTCTTTCTACTTTGGGACTATATTTGATTATTAACTTCATCAAAAATCCTCATTCATAAATTTAAATAATTTATTACATATGAATATAGAGAAATAATAATAATAAAATTTCATTTAAAATTCCAATTCTTAAAATACGCACAAATTTAACAGTTGGTGTTAACTTTAACAATGAAATTTACCCTATGAACTAATTTAGATCAATATTTAATAATATGGGACTAAAGTAAAGAAGCACTTTAAACCTCTGTAATTAATTGGTCACAGGTTAATAATCGAGGGATTATTTTAGGCATTTGCTCCATTTAATGAATACGAATAAAGAAGCGAGAACATGGAATCTTACATGAAGCATAAGGTGTCTAGTTATAAAATCATAAAAAAAACAAGAGATCGTTAAAGACAAAATATGTGACAAAATATGGGTCCTTTACCTATAAACATTTGCTTATATGAGTAAGAGAAGAAGAACTCAATATTAGTTGCCAAAAACAGTATAATTGATAAAAATAAAAAGCTAATTGTGAAATAATGGGAGCGGAAGGCCATAAAGCAAAAGCAATCCTTTTTAAACAAACCTCCAACACATCTCTGGCCACTACTGAATGCAGCAAGGATTGTATGGACACATATTTAACATTGTTATGCCACTATCACAACTTTATTTACCAAATAACTATCAAAATTACATCTTTATCACCCGCATTTGATATCACTGTCCCTAGGTGAATTCTGGAGTGGTGTGCTTTAAAATGAATTCACAAGTACTACATCATTTTAGATATCCATGGTATTAGTTTTAGTTAGCTCGTGTACATATTCACATGTCACAGCCATAAGCATTTTGACTAGTATTTTTCAGGATTTGTCATGCTCCAGTATCCTTTTTTAAAGTTTGTGACGAATTATGGTAAAAAGCCAGCAATCTCAACTACTTAGTTTTAGCTTTTAGTGAAAAGTACATATATACCACACAATTCTTATTTATTTACATATCTAACATCTACAGTTTGATATTTACATTTATAATGCCTAGGTGTCATAAATATATACATGAAAATTTGTACTTAATTTCTAAGAAGATAGTGATGGTGATATTTATGATGTGATGTTAAAAATTTGGAAGGCATCCATGTAAATATGAATGCTTAGGTGTTAGATATATAAATACAAAATAATTGTGTGGTATGTTGTAAAAACCCCATAAATATACTAAATTACTAATGCCCCATCACTTTACTATACTTATGAAGCTTGTCGCCTTGTAAATCAAATTAACTTCATGCACACCAACTGTCATGAAACAGTTTTATTTGAATGTTTAAAAAAAGTTGGGACGCATAAATTGTCAGAAACGTAGTTTTTTAACTAACCGCAAGAGAACTATGTGCTGAAGTTTCTGCATCCTCAACCCCTGAATCCCCAACAGCACCAACTTTTGAAGCACAGATTTTTCTGCTATCTTCAGCTTTGATATTTGACATGCAGTTCTCAAGAATTAAGGCAACAAAAGTCATTAATGGACTAAGAAATGGCATGATGTGTAAATCATCAAAAGTTTTAAGGACATCCTCTAGAACATATAGGAATCCATATTTCTTCTTCAACGAAATATCTGCAACAGGTTGAAAGATTAAACAATTAAAAGCAAGTGATTTCCATTGGCCTGCAACTAGGGCATTGGTTCCATGATGTTTGCTCAACAATGGCTTCAACAGTAGAAAAAAGAATAGATGAAGATCATTGACTTCGAGTTGTGCTAAAAAGCAAAGAATTGCTCTTCGAATGTTCATAACTGCATGCTGAAAAAAACACAATCAGGAAGAGAAATTTCTTCAGCTGGAGAACAAACAAACAATAATAGACTCAATAGAAACAGCAGCACAATGAGACCAAAACCTTATGTAATGTAAGTGTTTTAATCTTCCTCACTTTCGGTGTTAGCAATCTAACAACAACAGGAATTAAATGAGCCCTGTGTTCTTTCTGAATATTTTTGGAGTCTATAGAAACAGCCCATGTGGTGAGTTCTTCACGAATATTCCTAGAAATTATCAGATTTTTAAGATGCTGATCATATGGAATGAGGTAGTCATCCTTCCAGTTTAATAAGCAATCTATAACTCTCAGCTGTATATCAGGGTCAATTTCATCAAGAAGCCTGAAGAAATAATATATAATTTATCATCGATTTATAAAAAATTAAAATAAACATGAATATATCAGACTGTTTAATAAAAAAAAACAGCAATATTGTTATTAATAATCACGTGTAATTTAGCTGAACCAACCTGTTTAATAGAACATCCTTGAGAGCTTCACCTTGATACAAAGATCGGGAATTGTGCATTAGTTTCAGCAAGCTCAACCATTCTTTGAGAACTGACCTCCATTCCTTTCCAGTACACTTATATTCTCTAAATGATTCAACACTGAGGAAAAATTAACAAAAAAAGCAACCTATCAAAAACAAACAACCAGAAGAAGAAATCAAAGCACTAAAGTCTGTTCAACGACAGGAACCTGAATGTGTCAACATCAGTATAGCCCAAAAACTTCAAGAAAAGTGGAATAAGTTGGCGGGAATGAGATTCTGCCATTTGGGGTATTTTTTGAAGAGCCTTAAGCAAAAGATTCATCACTGTTATGCATGGCGTGCTATCAAATTCACGTTCAAAATTTGTTTTAAAGCACTGGACAAGAGCTGCATAAAAAGAATGGTAGAAAAAGCTAAGAGACTGTTGTAGATTACCAAGGTGATGAAAAAAAATGGAAGATTTACATACATGCCACTCAATTCTTATGTATTAACATATATAACACCTAAAGTTCAATTTTTCACATATATGCCACCTTACCTATGCATGAAAAGGTATATTTCACACTTTAAAAGTTAAAAAGGGGTATTTTTATGCGATATGAAAGATTTGGGTGGTAAAAATGTAAAAAGTAGGGTTTCGGTGCTAGATTTCTAAATACATAGGAATTGGGTGGCATCTATGTAAATGCCCCAAAAAGAAATTCACTGGCACGAGCTATACGGTACCGGAGTAAAATAGTTTAAACAAGCAGCATTTCCCTCAAACAAATAGCTGAGATTCATGAAAATGGGTAAAAAAGAACTATCACGGTACAAAACACAAAAATCTGAGTATTTCCATACAGATTTACCGAACTATTAACATGACTAGCATTCCAGAATTTACAGAACTATTAACATAACCAGCAATCCATCCTCAACCTTCTTCCTACAAATTATAATTCTTTGCTCACCTGAGAAAAGAACTAAACCCAATCAACATCATTATCGTACTCAAACATCCAACTAATTCACTTACCATTATGAATCCTCATCAGTTCAAAGCTTCATGTTGTACAAGCTCAAGGTTAGTTAAATCCTCTCGCATAAATGTAAAATATATTGATTTTAAAAGTGTATTTTATTATTTAGCTTGATTAATCCAATCCCCCTATTCAATCTACTTACCAAATTATCAATTTACAGTGTTTTATCTTATTTTCGATGGGTACTACTAATAAATTATATCAAATGAATAAAGTGCCCAAATATTCCCCTGAATATTTACATGGTGTTATTTTAGTCCTAGAATTTCTATTAGTATCAAATTAGTACTTAAGACCTTTGTGATATGGGCTGAAATGATCCCCAGGTTGACTATTTTAGCCCTCATTAAAAAAGTTATGGGACTAATTTAACACTTTTATAGACCCTTGGACTAAAATTGACCTTTACAAAGAGTTAAGGGCTCCTTTTGACACTTCTTTCCATCTCGAATATAATCTTTCAGGAGCATCCATACTAGTTTCACGAGAAATCCATAATAAAATTCATGATGAGATTATTGTAAAGAAAAAGAAAAGACGAACAATGTTTACAAGAGATAGAAAATTTAGTAGAAAAGCGTGTCAAAGATAATGAAGAACTTGCTCATCGCCAGCAGACACTACAAAAAAACAGAAACCCCTATGCAAACAAGACAATAATTATCGTGGCAGAAATAACATAAGAGTAAATGAGATAGATAACAGAAAAAAAATAAGTATCTATAGTGCTAACCAACAGAAAGGAACAATCTAATTAATAATGCACGAGGCTTCCATAAATTTAGATACGCACGACATAAATTTTATGGATTTACATAGGTAACAACAAAAGTTTGATATTTACATTTATAAAACCTAGATGCTACAAACCTATGCATGAAAAGGTGCATTTAACTTTTAGAAAGTTCATAAAAGTGCTATTTTCTATATGACGGTAAAGATTGAAGTGTTATGAATTTAAATATTAAAGTTTAGGAGTTAGATGTACATACATAAGAATTGTGGTGTGCATGTAAATTCCTCAGGAAAAAAAAGAAAACTAAAAATAATAACGAACTGGCTTAGAAATAAAGCACGAGGGTATACTCTTTGCTTGAAGATTTTCCGATTTCAATTTTAGAACAGCTTCATCAACAGAAAGAGACTTCAATTGATAATATTCAAGATGTTGCACAACTTGAGTCCAAACAATTTTACCATATCGTCTAATTAAAGTAATAAGACACTCCAGAGCAGGATCCCAGAGAAGGGAAAATCTATTATGTAAGATGCCAATAACCCCATTCAATATTGCAGGAACAAAATTATCGTGTATTTTTCCAGATCCCAAGACCATCTGTAATCTGGAGATTAGAAGTACAGCTTTTCGACTTGTAAATACAGAAATCGGAGTTGTTTCAATAGAAAGTAAAAGATTGACAACCTGAAACATCCAAACATTAAATTCAAGGTATCTAAACAATTACTTTAAAATGAGTAAAGTGTCAAAATAGCCCTCTGTCTGTTAAAGGGGATCATTTTAGTCCCGGAGTCTATAAGAATTGCCAAAATTAGTCCCTAGGCTCTTTAAATTGGGGCTAAAATAATCCTCTGTGGAGACTATTTCAGCTTGTATTAAAAGAATTTGGGGCTAAATTGGCACTTCATAGACCCTAGGTACTAAAATAGCTCTAAAATGACACCCAACATAAAGTCAGGGCAATTTTAACACTTTTCTCCTTTTGAGATTGATAAAAAGTCAAAAAAATACATTGATGGATTCAAAAATTTTATCTGAGTCAAATTCATCATATTTAACTCTCTTGGGAGGCCGATCTCCGCTCACAGGGAGCTCATCCTGAAGAGCATGATGAGAAAAAATTCGTAGCGTAGAAACTCGAATTTCTTTATTAGGTAGGGCTAAATTATCCGCAAAAATGCTTATCAAATGCTGAGCATCTTCAACACCAATTTTCGTGTAATCATTGTTCGACCTGTCATTAAGAATAAAACACTAGCTTAAAAAGTTGTAGAATTCAAAAGGACAAAAGACAGAATAAGACATTAAGATGAAGTAATTGGTATTACACCATAAGACAGAATCCAAAAATTCAGCAACAGCAAACAATATTCGAGGAGATGATTTGTGTCTTTTAGCTGTATGAAGAAAAATGTGAGCTTCTGAAGGCCCACTACACTCGCGCAATAACAGCTTATGATATGAATTCAACGTATCGCCGAGTAGATCTTCCCAAAGGGAAACTGGAACACCTGCAATGTCATCTATAGAAAATTCTAAAAGTTAATTCCACTGAAATGTCCAAAAGTAAATGATTATCAACCCAAAAAATGGCATTACCAGCATTGGTTTCGAGGACTTGGCTGAAAATTCCTATCAAATTCTTAAGTAATAATGGAGTTCCGCTTGTACATTCGAAAGATGGGTAACATCTTATAACTCCCCATAAAACAGCTAAATTAGGCAAAAGATCTGAGACGTTTTTGATATTTGCAATTTCACTTAAAAAGTTCGACCAATAATTTAATGTCTCTGTAAAGAATTTGCATGTCCTCGGTGGAATTGCTTCAAGAATATTACAGGATTGTCTCTCGATTAATTTCAGCATCAATATGAGGACTTCTTCTGATGATTTTTCAATCATTTCATCGATGGCGCTGCAAATGAAGCAAATAAATGCGAATTAAATGGCTGCATTATGCAAATGATATAACAGAACAACAGATTGAGCAAAGCAACCTGATAATATAAGTTCTAAAGGAAAGTACAACTTCAGGATCCTTGTCAACGAGCCCTTCCACAAACATAAGCAAACTGCAAAACATGCAAAAATAAATGTGTCAACATGACTGGACAAGAAAAATACTAAACAAAAAATAAAGCGTTAAAATAGTCCCCGGTTGTTTATATGAAGACATTTTAGTCCTAGGGTCTATAAAGTGTCAAATTAGTCCCCAGACTCTTGGGTTGAAATAGTCCACCGTGGAGATTGTTTCAGCTCTTATTAAAAGATTTTGGGGAGGGATAAAAGTGGTATTTTTATAAACTCTGAAACTAAATGACAACCTATAAAGAGTCAAAGGATTATTTTGACATTTTTCCCACACAAAATATTTTAAGAAACTTCAATGCTCTGCATAAACAAAAACTAATCTCCCAATACCTTGAATGTTCTAACTTAAACACTGGAGCAAGTTCCATTGTGATGCATGTATAAGAACAACCTTCAGGCGTGTCCAGCCGACAAAGCACTAACTGCAGAATCTTATTACGAATGATAGGTAATGCACCCTCAGAAGAACACTCTCCGGACTTGATGATTTCCGGAGAAGCAATGAAGGAATGCATGAGTAATCTAATAAGCTCTACCATTTTGTTTTCATCTAAAAAAAAATAGAGAAAATTGCGAAGAATCATAATATCAGGTTCCTGAGATGAAGAATAAGAGATACCCACCAAGCATCCCCAAAAGAATAGAACATCGAGAAAAAGGTAAGGGAAATTTACACACGTGCCACACCTTATGTATTTACATATCTAACACCCAAAGTTTGACATTTACACTCATAACACCTTGGTTTCATAAGCCTATGCATGAGAAGGTGTATTTCATTTAAAAAAAAGATAGTGATGGCGGTATTTTTGTTGTGATGTTAAAAGATTGAGTGGTTTGCATGTAAATATGAATGTTTTGGAGTTAGATATGCAAATATATAAAACTTGTGTGGTATGTACGTAAATGCCCCAAAAGGTAAATATAGCTGAATTCAGAAAATTTTAATGTACAATGGGAAAAAATTTCAATCTCACCAAAGGCTCGGCCATCCTTGCTAAGACGAACAGCATTTGTTAGAAGTACCAATAACTGAATTAGGTGAGTCAAACATCCCTTGTTTATGCTACAATATATTTTCTCAAATAAGCATTCAAATACAACCTTCTGGTCCATGTGATCTATCTCTTCAAATAATCTATGCAAAATACCGTTTACAACATCGAGTACAGCTTCTGAACCTGTAAAAGGGAAACCAAGGTGTTAAAAAAAGGAATGGAAACATCTACTATATATATAGAATAAACCTGGTTCTTAGTTCTGCATAAACCTGAAAAGTATGCAGAATATAAATATTATATATACTCAATATCAACTGGATCTTAGTTGGCTCACCCATGTCACCCATGGTTCGATTAACAATAGAAAAAAAAAAACTCAACAACCTCAAAATAATTCATTAATTCTACATCTATCATTTATTAGCATACTTCAGCAATTTAATCAGCGCACAACCCTGAAAATTAATCACATTATTTGCTGTTTCATGTGCTTCACAGACCAGATATATAATGATAAACTGTTTTTTATAACTACTAAGGGAACACTGAGACGAGTGTCTCCCGCTGTTGAACCCGATGTTGCTCCCAGGTCACGTGAGGGGCATAGAGCCAAACCAACACTCTTT